GTTATTGGTTCTATGTCTGGATGTACTGTGAGATCTCGTTTTACATCTCATATGGAATTTTATGTGGCTAAGAGTTTTCTAGGGCTTCGTATATAATTGGCCTTGTCTCTGGCCTCCCAGGAGAAAATATGAGGCATAGCTGACAAACCACTGAAAATGGGCATGGAAGATCTTCATTGGCCCCCTCATAAAAGGGGGTGCTCTCCATCTAAAGATCCACCTCAAAGCTATGTTTTGAATTCTAGATAGAATTCCACATTTAAGCACCAGGAAAAGTTGGGGAAAATATAGGGAAGAAAGGAGACAGGGAAAGATGAAGACACAGTTCAACTTCCCAGTGCTATCTTTGTCACCCTTGGCCATCCCTGAAACCACGGTGAATTCAGGCGCCAGAGGCTGCCAACCTGAATTACAACCATGAGCCCCTCATGGGGATTCTCAAGTTGGTCTCTAATTTGCAAATCTGTTCTCCTGCTTCTTCAGAACTCCCTACTGATATGTGGGTTTCCAAGCATGGCTAAAAAAGCTACTCAAGGTTCACTTTAGATGGAGTTATGTCAAATTTAAAAACAATTACCCAAAATAATAATAATAATAATAATAATAATAATGCCCTATTTAAGGTGCATTTTGAGCAGCCAAAATTCAGACAAAATCCAAAATACATAATTTCCTAATTGCTGTATGTCTAGTCAAGAGGGATTTCTTTATTTAATTCAGAGTAATGAATAGCCTTCCTTGTTTCATAGTGATCTTTGCTCTGTTGAAGGGTGGGGTTACCTTTTATCAAGAAACACAATGGGGTTATAAAGCACTGCCTAGGCAAGTCAGACAGAATGTCTGCACCTGCAAACTTTTTACGCTAGCCTGGAGATCATTTCAATACAGCTCAGCAAAAGCACTTCTAACCCAGGCAAGATGCCAGCTGGGTGTTGTCAGAACAATTAAACATGTTGCTGGCTTCTTCCATTTCCTAAAAACAGTAGTCACCACCAAAAAAAAAAAAAAAAAAAATTCAGTGCTTAAAAAAGTGAAAATAAAATAATTTTTTCCCTACCCTTAAGGGGAAAGCAGAGATAGGTCTTTTGGGTACCACACACTGTGCATTTAACCATACTGGAGAGTTGGTACATTAGAAGACATACTCTTAAGTATGAGACCCCACGATATGCCTTGGTGTGCACAGATAGCTAAATCTTTTATGGAAAAGAAGCCCAACCAGGACACAGGCCTCCAACAAGTACTTCTGTGTGTGTGCACATGTGTGTGTTTCCTGCTATAAGTATGACAAGAATAAAACACAACAGAAATCAAGCAAGAGTTCCTTGTCAGGACAGCAGTACTTTTCACATTTTCCACACTTACTGGATTTGTTTACAAAAGGGCCAACCCTACCTAGAATAAAAATATATTGGTGGTTGGCCTCCAAGGATTAATTATTTTCAATCAAATTCACTAGCTAAATAGCCTACCAAACCAAAACCAAACTCATTGTCGTTGAGTCAATTCTGACTTATAGCAACCCCCATTGGGTTGGTTACTAAGGTTATAAATCTGGACAGAACCAGACTGCCTTATCTTTCTTCCATGAAGCTGCTGGTGTACAAACCACTGACCTTTTGTTTAGCAGCCAAATGCTTTATCCACTACACCACCAGAGCTCCTCAAATAGCCTGTAGACAATGTGAAAAATAGTCTAATATCAAGTACTCACTTCAGCTGCCAATGTTAATCTTATAAACATATTCTTGTAAGGGCAGAATGAAAATACCTTAAAGCTTTGATCTCAGTTCCTTAATATAAATTTGGAATGAAATCTGGATTTAGAAATAAATGGACCAAAAGCAAAAAGTGGTGTCATTTCTAAATACAGCATGTTTAAAAGGTAAAGAGAGACAAAGAGAATCTCACAAGTTGCACATAGGCCTTGGGATCCAAATCTTGTGTTTCTCATCTTTACCCACAAATCACAAAGACTGAGATGGCTAGTTAATGGTCACAGAGTGTAGGCAAAACCTCTGTAAAAGGTTTAATAATCTGAGGTAACACTATTATTATGGATGGTCACAAATTACCCAATTCTTTAAAATACTGCACATATCCATGTCATATATAATTGTAAGGGCTATCAACTAATTAAAAAGAGATATTCAAACTCATTTTGCTGCCGTTCATTATTAACTCCTTATTAAGCCTAGGGAAACAATCATTTAATCCATTAGGTGATTCCCTAACCAAACTGGTGTTTTTCTTTGCCCTGGAAGAGAGTAGTCCCAATTGTGCAAAAGGGCAAAGAACAATTAACTGGACAGAGAATTTTCATACTGAACACTCAAAACGATTCCCCCCCTCCCCTAAAAAGTCAAGGAAACTCTGGTACAATTGGGGTTTTGTTTGATATTTTTTCTTTGGCATCTGAGGCTGAATTTACCTCATAAATGGAGGGGTGCACTGAAAACCAACCAACTCACTCAAAATAAGCTGATTCTTAAGAAAAGTGCCTGTATTTTTGGCAAACTTCTTCTTTTTTTAAAAAAAAAAAAAAAAAAAAGGCTCAATGGGCATACACTTTCCAAGGACTGCCTGCTGAGAAAGGCAAGATAAAGGAAGAACCAGAAGAACCAGGAGGAGGGTGAATGAGGCCACACAGAAGGCCACTCAAGTCATGGAGACAAGACGCATGAAGGAGGAGACCTGAGAGTTGGGGCGTCTGTCAGGCAAGTAGCCTCACTTCACAGAGCCCAACTTCCTCCTCAAGTAGGGTAGCGAGAGAATGTTTGATCTCTGTGACCCCTCTCAGCTCAAAGATTACTGTGGGGCAATCTGTCTCCATGCAAAAGTACCAAGTCTAAATGTTAACTCTGGGAGCATGGAAGGCCCTATCTGCCTTGATACACTGTGCACTCAACATTTGCTTTCTTCTTCCTTCTGCCAAAGCATCCTGCCAAAGTTCCAGACAGTTCCTGCATACATAATTCTACTTGCAAAACTCCAAAACTGAGGGGAGGGAGAAGTCATGCCCCCTCAATGCTCTCTTGGGCTGCTAGGCCCAAACATCTTCAGCCTCTGGTTGGCCTTCAGGCTCTAATCCAGAGCTGCCCATACATAAGGTTTGCTTTTATAGTTTTTCGTGCTCTCTCTGATTCTTGTCAGCATGACCTAATGGAGGAAATCAGAAGCCCTGACTGTTTACAAAATGCAGCAAAGTTTAATTCAAAAGGTAGTACAGGCGAAGAAGTCCCACTCTAGGTTGGACCTATAGTTAACACAAGTTCACTACCAGGCCTCCACTCTTGTACCCGGTCCCCACCATCCACTCACCGCAGCAGCCCAGTGGGACCTTATTAAAACGTAATTCATAGCTTGTCACTGGCATGCCTAAAATCTTCCAAGGGGTGGTGGTTATTATGCTGTGTGTGTATGTTAAGAACATTTGTGCACTTTACGGTCTATATGATAAAGTAAAAATATTTCACAAACAAATCCCTTCCCTTGGAATAAAACCCAAACTTCTTCCCTTGATCTACAAGGCCCACACGATTTGTCCCTACCTCCATCTCTGACTGGCTCTCATGCCACTCTCCACTATGCTCAGCCACACTGCCCTTCTTTCTATTCTCCCAACTGTGGAGGATCCACACTCAGAAATTCCACTGCCTGCCCCACACATCACCTGATGATCCCCTCATCCACTGGCTTCAGGTGAAATGTTACTCCTCTGAAAGGCCCTCTTGGTCGCCAGTCTAAATCTGGTCCCTGTCATTCTCTCATCTTGCTGCCCTTCTCTTTGCAGTGCTTACCACAATTGGTAATTCTTCCATTAGTTGTGAGTTTATTTGTTAACTATCTGTCTCCTGCCATGAGGACAGGAATTACGGCTGCCTCATTCCCCACTCTATCTCCTGCTCATAGACCGAGGGTGGCACTGGAAGGTACTGGAGCATATTTGTTGAATCAAAGTGTGCTCTTTGGCAACATGTCTTTGAGTTTCACTTTCTTCACCTGTGACATGAGCACTGTAGAAGTATACCATGCTTAGTAAAGTATGTTGTTGTTGTTGTTATGTACCGTGGAGTTGGACCCGACTCATAGTGACCCCTCCTTGGGTTTCTGAGGTGGTATCACTACAGAAGTAGATTGCCCAACCTTCCTTCCGAGGAGTGGCTGGTGGGTTTGAACCGCCAGCCTTCTGGTTAGTAGTATAGGGTCAGTGAAAAAGGCGAAGACCCTCAATAACTTGAATTTAGTGGCTGCAACGATGGACTCAAGCACAACAATGATTGTGAGGATGATGAAGGACCAGGCAGTGTTATATTCTGTTATGCACAGGGTTGTGATGAATTGAACTGACTCTATGGCACCAAACACCATAACAACAACATAAGGACCATCTTTGTAGCAAGTCTGCCACAGGACAGATGCTTAAAAGAACAGAGTATTCCCTCTCCTTGGTGCCCAAGTTAAATAAACAGCCTATTTGTTCATATGACCAAAGACTGGAAGAAGATTAAGAATCATCATTGTTGTTGTTGTTGTTGCTATGTGCCGTCGAGTCAGACCTGACTCACAGCGACCCCTCCTTGGGTTTCTGAGGTGGTATCACTATGGAAGTTGATTGCCTAACCTTCCTTCCGAGGAGTGACTGGCAGGTTTGAACCATCAGCCTTCTGGTTAGCAGTCAAGGGCTTTAGGCATTACGCTACCAGAGCTCCCCACCAATCATTAGCCACTGGGAAAAAACATTTCATCTACTCGGACTCTGCTGGGAAACCACCTTTAACCTTCTTTTCTTCAGGCTGACACATTCACATTCCTTTATCTGATCCTTAAAGCCTTTATTTTTGTAGCCCTGACATCCTGGGGCTGGAACTTGCATTTTGATGGGGTTCCAACACCCACTTCCACTGACTATGTTGGTTCAAGATCACTGTTTTACAAATATTAGGCCCCTGGGGGCTACTCATGTGTGTAAAAAAAAATGAGATGTTAAAAGAGTTTACCTATGATGTTCACCGTACTATCCACTTCATTTTTTATAGCTGAAGTCAGGACCGCATACTCTGGAGAAAGATCACTTACTCCATTACTAAGCCCCAAAGATGACTCAACTGGTTCTTGCTAGGAAGAAGAAAAGAAAAAAGAATTGAGAACACTTTCTTTTCCCTCCCTTTTCTTAGCTTAAATTCTATTGTCCACTTTCTTAGTGCTTTATGTTTATCTACTGAATTGTATTCCCTACTTTATAAACTAGCCTGGAGTTAATGAAGCACATTTCTGTCTAAGATGTAATGCTGGGTATTTACTTTCTTTTACTTTCCTTCAAGGAAATAGTACCACAGCATCTGGGTTGCCTTTGAAAACACTTAACACCTGTAGACAGCAGCTTTGGAGTGAAGCAGGGCTGTTTAACTATCTAGGGAAAGTATTGCAATGCATACACATTCTAGATGTTCCTTCCAGGATGAAGTGAATGAAAAGTCAACTGCAGGTTTTCTCTCTTAAGGAGGAATCATGTCACCTCTTTTGCAATAATTTCTTAGGAAAAGCTCTGCCTCACCAAATGGCCCCCAACAGGAACCCAGAGAAAGCTGAGGATGAATTTTCCTCAGGTCTGGTTTGCCATCACTGGCATTCGGCATTGGGTGGCTGGCTAATAGCACAGGCCACACTCACAGCTGAAGCCTCCCTCCACTTGGATGGGATCCAGTTGGGCAACCCCATGGCCCTGCTTTCATAAATGCTTTTCAAGTGCCTGGAAGATCCATCCAGTCCAAGAGGCTACACATTCATACTAATGAAACAGTGAGAACAAATTCCTTGGCCTCCTTACAGCTCTAAAAGTTGTTTTATTTAAGTGCATAGAATCCTCCACACTCCTTCTACGAGTGCCAACCAACTCAAAGAAGCTCTCCTGAGGTACAAGTTGATTTTCAGCATTTTGATTAAAGAGCTCTTCCTCAAGGTTAGACTACACATGCTTCTATGAAAACAATCAGGTCAGACACAAAAAAGCCATGCAAGACAACTTAAGGGGAAACCAAAATGAAGAGGAGGAAGGAGAGGTGGGAAGAACACAGGACTGTTTGCTGAGAGTCATGTGAGATAGAAATATTAAGAATGGCATTCAACTAAAATGCATGTTAAGCATTTTTATCAATTTATTTATGTGCTATCTAGAATCAATAATGAGTTACAAACACATATAGGGAAGTAACACCCTGGGGCAAATTACCTGCTACTTCCAGATCTCACCTGGCAAACTCGCACCAAGATAACCATGACTTCAAAGACATCACTTTACCATATAGCTTAATTTTTAAAAAATCACACACTAAATGATTTACAAAATGTACCAAAGGTCGAACATAAGGAAAGGCTCAGAACAGCCCCACTGGGCAGAAATTTCACCCCTTCGCCCTCAGCATCTTGTTCTTTTCTCTCATAAGAAGTCTTCTTTTTTTCCTAGGGTGTGCGTGTGTGTGAATCATTTGACTGTGACTTGAGCAACCGTTTATTTCCTTCTTTCAAAACCAAACTTACGAACAAGTGCCTGCCCTCCTGAACTTCTCCTACTCACCTCCATTAGTACCTGTGTTCTCACTTCCACTCAGCTTGCAGACTCAAGCTTCAAGAGTGGTGATGAGAAGATCGACTCTGAAGTCTGACAGGCCTGGAGACAAAGCCCAGTTCCTCTGTCACTAGCTATGGGACCTCATTTAACCTCCTTAAGCCTCTCTTTGGACACTGTGAAGAGCTGTAAAGTGAGGACAATAATAGTATCCATGCCATAGGGATGATGTAAAGATCAGGTGAGATAAATATGCCTGGCCCTTACTATTAAATGAATGCCTGCTATTATCAAGCATCACCAATAAAACCCTGCTCTCCCAAATCCAGTGACCTTTACCCTTGCCCCATCTCCCTAACATCGAATAGGAAGGATCATACACTCCCTTTTTGACCACCTCCCCAAGCTAAATTATTTGCAATTGAATTTACTGCAATTGTCTCTCCAGCCACACTTTGTTTTCTCATGGGCTTCCTCAATGATCCCTCTTTAGTCTTCTCTCCCCAATTATATCCACATTTCATTATTCCACTTCCCTTTCCTCAATTCCCTCAACATGAACTAAATATAGAATATTTGAAGAAATTATGAGAAGACTGCTAATTTTAATGAGTTTCCTTTGTCTCAAGTTATTTTTTACTTATTGTTTCTACGTTTCCTGTAATGGTAATGAGATCGACAGACTTGCATATATTTAAAAACCTAAGTTATTCTGATTTCTCAATTGAAGAACTCTAAGCGTTTCACATGCTTTGCAGTTTAATTAGTGGGAAGTGATACTTTTGTCACTTACACTTGAGAAAACTATGACTCAGAGACTAAATTAATTTTCCAAAATCACACTACCCCTAGCCTGAGGAGATATAAGCACTGAACCCAGTCTTTGGTCATGAGACATGGTTCAATTCTAGAAGATTCCTGTCTTAATAACCCCTTGTATCCTGCACTGCTTCCATGATGGAACAGTGTATTTAACCAGGAGATTGAGATGGGACTATTTTGAACAGTGTTTTAGTTTCCCCAGTACCACCTCAGAGAAACTGTCAATTTCAAGGTCTTCAAAGCAAGATAACCTCAATGGGCCTATCTCTGGAAGAGGGTCCAGTAAACTATACAAAATGTAACCAGTCCTTCCTTAAGAGGTCTCCCTTATATCAAGGGTGAAGAACAGCAGGCCCACGAGAGAAGAATCTTCACTATATTCAGTCAAAATCTATGAAATGATTAGAACTAGGTATTTCTACACCTAAACAATACTAAAATAAAACCAAGGAACCAAAGGTAAGAAAAGGATGTGTACAGTTCTCCATGCAACATGTCCTCTGCCGTGCAGTCATGAATGGCCTTTGCCCGCAGCATCCCTGATCCTCTGTGAAGTCCCACTTTTGCCCTGTTCCAACTGTCCCTTGCTGTGTTTCATCATAACCTGACCTTGTTAATCCTGAACTATCCCCTCTTTCTGTTCTTTTTCTTATTGGAGATACAGACTCTCCTGCAAATCAAGCAGCTTGTAGTTTCTTGGAGTCCCTGGGTAGTGTAAATGGTTAACTGCTCAATTATAAACCAAAATGGTTTGAATTCACCCAGGGGTGTCTCAGAAGAAAGGTCTGGTGATTTACATCCAAAAGGTCATAGCCACTGAAAACTCTATGGAGTACACTTCTACTCTGATACACATAGGGTCACTAAGTTGTAGTTGTTGTTATGTGCTGTCAAATCACCAAGAGTTAGAGTCAACTCAACAGCAATTAGTTTCTTGTAGCTTTCTTGGTTTCGAACCCTCTCATCTCTCACCAAAGAAAACAAACAAACAAAAACGTCTGTGCTCAGAGTCAGATTCCTCCATGGTACATTAACAGTGCCAAATATTTAAGCTGATGAACCTATCCACCATAATGGAAACTAAGATTTGGCCTAGGGATTTCTTTTTTCTTTAAGCAAGCTGATACAAGAGAGATTTTATGGGCAGAGGTGGCTTTCTTTAGACCTTTAAACTAACGCACCTTTGACTAGTCTCAAACCTACACTGGAAGGATGACAGGTTTTGGGGCAGACCTAAGTTAGAGGGCAGCAGAGGGTCTCTCCAGCTGGTCCCTCATCCATCTGTCCCAAGTCCATTCTGCCTCATCTCTGTACCACAGCCTCAGACTACATTTCCCCTTTTCTCAGGTGTAATACAGTTGCCATGAGATCATCACTCATCCCCAATCCACCTCTCACCTCCAAAGATGCACTAATTTATCTGTACTAAACTAGATTCCTTGAAGCCAAATTTAGAGTCATCAAATTTAATGGCCTCTCTGGGTCTCCCTGCTAACAAAAACTTCAGACTAACAACTGGGTATACACCCCACATCATGGAGGCCACAATGTCATTAAGATCTGTTCTTAGTTAAACAGGCTGAAGCCTGTGGCCTAAATCCTAAAAAATATTTTACTTCTCTTCCTTTCTTGGAATTAGGCCTTTATTCTCTTTCTCTCTCTCCCACTCCAACTCCCTTTTGACTTTTTCTTTGGATCACTTTTCTCTTCCTTTTCCTGGAGTTTTTGTCTTCATCTCATATAGCTCTTCTCATGGAGAACACATCTATTTTCAAGGCTTCTAAATATCCTTGAGTAAATGACCATACATCAATATCTCCAACATCTACCTGAGCTCTACACCTGTTAAGTCCAACTTTCTATCGAACATTTGCTTTAGAGGGCTCTCTGTTAAGTCAAACTCAACACTTTCAAAGCTAAACTCACCCTCAAAACAGGCTCCCTTCCCAACATTCCCCTCTCTGAGATCTGAACACTCGTGGTGTCCTTGATCCATTTCTATCTTCATTCTCCATAGCCCTCTCCACTCTCCAAAGAAATGTGTCCTCCCCTCCATTTCTTCCTGCCTGTCACTGTGAGAGTGACCTCCATTAAAGATCAATTCTATCATGTTCTAAATCAGCTCTAAGGAGTTCAACTGTGCCTTATCTCATAAAATAATCTATAGAAGTCAATTAGGAGCCTGAGTGGCGCAAACAGTTTACAACTGGCTACTAACTGAAAGGTTGGCAATCTGAAGCACCAAGCAGTTCCACAGAAGAAAGGCCTGGTGATCTGCTCCCATAAAGATTACAGCCAAAACAAAAACAAAAACAACATCCTATGGAATAATTCCATTCTGCAATACACAGGGTTCTCTCCACGATTCAGGAGCCAATCTGATGGCCGCTAACAATAACAAGAGGTCATTTAGCTGACCAGCTTTCAAACTGTGCCCTAAGCAGTCCCTTCAATAGCCACTATAAGGAAAGGAGGAGACGGCAAGCTCAGTAATCCATTTCATCCAGGGCAGTTCTCATTTCATGTTTATCAAATGGATGACCAGCATGTGTTTTCATCTGATTAAAATTTGGACGTCTTCCAACCAGTGAATGGATACCTCCACTAGTAGCCCTGACAGATGGTCATTTGGCTTATCTTTGAACAGTGACAGGGAATATGCTGTTTCTTAATCCAGCTCATCTCCCTGTTAGAACCAATAGCTCTATTAGGAAGTTCTTCTGCTGCA